GCAGTACTTTTAACATCTGAAGGTAGGAAATAGCTACAAGTCATAGTGACTATTTCAGATAGCCCCCTATAAATGGTATCACACTAGTTTAGGAACTATGGAGTGACAGAAATATTGGAATTTTATAAAAACTTTTAAAATACTTGTTTCAGGATTTTTTCTCAGAATCTGAATGAAGTATCACATGATGATATCACTATTTCATAAATGAATAAATTTGACATTTTATTTTCTTTAGTAATATTGTCTAGAGAATCTTAAATAATCTTAAATAATCATACATAATCTTTATGTATGGCCTCCCTGGTGGCGCAAGGAGTTAAGTATCAGCACAATGAAGCTATCGGCAGCAAAAGTTCAATCCCCAGCCAGGAAGCTAACCCACGTGGCACAGCAGAACTCTCCTATCTCACCTGCTGCTCCCCTCAGCAGTGTATTTCAGTCAATCCACCTATTCTGTTCCCCATTCTGTCTCTGATGAATTCTCTCACCCCTCACACTTCTGGCCTACACCTCAGCTATTGTATGCATAAATAAATAAATCATTTAAAAAAATTGCTTTATCTGAACTGAATCTATGTAGTCCTCAAACTTCACTCTAGTTAGTACCTTTAAGCATTACTTAAATGTAACAGAGAAATAACTTCTTTCCCCTTCTGTGTTCTTATTCATCGATGTATTCCATAAAATGCTGAAAGATATATGGCAGAAGGAGAAATGACATGATTAATTCTAATCAAAATTAATTAACAGGAAAATATATTGATTCATTTACTTTTTTCCCCCAAATAAAGAGTATTTTTAATTCTGTAGAATAAATATAAATATTAATGATTCTAAAACAATTAAATTTTATTGTGTTAAAGTAAGAAGAATTTACATGGTAGACATTTTTGCATGTTTGAAAATTTTCTTAATAAAATGTTAGGAAAAATATAGAGAAATATTGCTGTTAGAGATCTTGTTAATAGAATTGTTCATGTTGTTATAATCTTTTGAAGGTGGTCTGGACAATGTGGAGTATTATGACATTAAATTAAATGAATGGAAGATGGTCTCACCAATGCCATGGAAGGGTGTAACAGTGAAGTGTGCAGCAGTTGGCTCTATAGTTTATGTCTTGGCTGGTTTTCAAGGTGTGGGTCGATTAGGACACATCCTTGAATATAATACTGAAACAGACAAATGGATCGCCAACTCCAAAGTCCGAGCTTTTCCAGTAACAAGCTGTTTGATCTGTGTTGTTGATACTTGTGGAGCAAATGAAGAGACCCTTGAAACATGAAAAGTGAGTATACTTCGAAGATTCATCAGAGACTCAAAAATATAGCCACCAGTGCTTTGTTCCAAGAGTTTGTTTAAAAATTTTAGTTTGATCTTTTGTTTTTTGGAAGGAAGTTTCAAGTAAAATAAGAAATAGATGTTTCTTTTATATGGATTTCCTTATTTAATTTGAAGTAATGTGAAGACCTTATTTCACCCAGCCACATAACCAAAAATATATCTATCAAGACTTGAAAAATTATAAGCATTTGGTGAAAATATGAATTATTGAATGAATTTCACATTTCTAACTATGATTATGGCAGAGTGGGGGACTGGCTCATCAGCAAAGGAGCCTCACCTTAGCTCTAGATTCTATTTTTCATATATCATAGAAGTGCTTTGTAGTTAGGTCTGTTTGTTTCTGCTCAGTCAAGAACCAAGAAATATTATGAATTGTTAGTCAAAACAGGCAGCTCTGATAGAGCAACTTTAGTCTCACATAATTTTGCTTGTTTTAATTGTATTGCATTTAGTACCAAATATATTCCATTTTAAAAGAGAACCAGAGTGAGTCAAAGCATATACAGGCTCTCTCACAAAACTTCATAAAAACATTTTGGGACTTAAAAATATTCTCTATTCCTCATGAAATATAGTCAATCCAACTAAATATATTCTCCATCTTTTTAATATAAAATGTCAGGCTTAGCACCCATTATTATTGTTTTATCCAGTGACTAAAAAGTAATTATGCCTTTTCAGTCCACTGATAAATAAAATCCAATCATAATAAGGACAATGAACTAGCAACAGATAAAACTATAGTAAATTTCTAGGTAACTAGCACACTTATATAATATCAATATTGACTTTGAACTTCTTATGAATTAAAAAGTACATAATTTCCTTTCCTTAGCAGGATGTATCAGAGATACTTGGCCCAGGTGTCTCTAATAGTTATGTAATAATTTGGTATAAATATATGCCATCTTGTATTTGTTGCTTTTATGTGGTCAATAAATCTTTTACAAATCCATCTATTCATTTCTTTCCTACTAATGTTTTCCCCTTTTACAGTAAGGAGTGTATGGAATGAGCTATGTAAAGCTGTCATTTATCTGATATTATTAAATATTTTTAACTTAAAGTAGCCTTCTAAGTTTTATTCATTTTAAATGTATTAAGTAATGTTTTTTTAATTTGTGAAGCAATGTTCTATTTTAATTTTTGTCTTTATGTAAGGGATATAACATTAAACCCTAAAAATGTTTAAATGAAAACACTTACAAAAAGCATATAGGTATATTTATATTTATGTGGGAATTTGTGTACATAACAATTATATTGATATATAATTATATTGAGATATAATTCACATACCATACAATTCACCCATTGATATAGTGAATTAGTATACTCAGAATTGTGCAATCACCACCACAATTTTGGCACATTTTTGTCACCACAAAAGAAATCCCATGCTCCTTAACAATCACTCCCCATTTTCACCCTGTATTACTTTCCTAAGGCTCTGATAGCAAGTTATCACAAACTTGGTGACTTAAAACAACAGAACTTTATCTTTTTTGTAGTTCAGGAGACCAGAAGTCCTAAATCAAGGCATTGGCAGAGCTGCTTCTTTCTGGAAGCTCTGAAGCAGAAACTGCCAGGCTGCTCCCCTATCTCCTGGTGGTTGCTAGTAATCCTTGGCATTCTTTGCTTGTAACTGCATCAGTCCAATCACTGCGTCTGTCTTCACACGGGCCTTCCCTGTGTGCCCCTCTTTGTTTTTTCATGGTTTGTAAGGATAGCAATCATTGGATTTAACCCAATCAGGTATGGCCTCATCTTAACTAATTACATCTGCAAAGACCCTGTTTCTAAATAAGATTACATTCTGCAGTTCTAAGTGGATATGAATTTTGATGGGGAGTTGGGGACATTATTCAACCCAGTTACATCCCTCAACCACGTAGCCCTAGGCAATCATCACTCTGTCTCTAGATTTGCCTATGCTGAACATTTTTTAAAAGATTTATTTTTATTTATTTACACATACAAGAACTGGGGTCTAGGCCAGAGGTACAGGGAGCGAGAGGATTCGCCAAAGACAGAGTGTGGAGCTGTGGAAAGGTGACGGAAAAGGAAAAGGTGATTATTGTAGGATTTGAGAGGAAGGTGGAGCTTGGTAAAATTTAAATGAAGTAGTTTTGACAGGCTCAAAGCAAAGAAGAACTATGAGTACAGTTATCAACATATTTGAACTGAGAGGTGGATGGAGGGTCATGTTTCCTTGAAAACTACAAAGTTAAGAAACTAGCTAATGTGTTTTTTATGAAGCCATGGTCTGAAGCACTGCTCCTGGGTAGAAATCAAGGCTGCTTCTGGATGGCAAGTGATTTAGATCCAGGCACAAGGGGGATGTTTCATTCTTACTGACATAACTGTAACAGGGTGGTCCCCAGGAAAGGGGGAAGTTCCAGGTTCCCTGCCCCACCCAAGGGAGGGTGGAGCTGAGCAGGAAGAGGAGAAGCTGCAGAAGAGACTGAGGAAGGAAGCAGGATGGAGCCAGGAGACCTGGAACTTCCCCCTTAGATATGGTGGAATAAAAATTAAAAGGGGGGATTGTAACAGGGTGGTCCCCAGGAAAGGGGGAAGTTCCAGGTTCCCTGCCCCACCCAAGGGAGGGTGGAGCTGAGCAGGAAGAGGAGAAGCTGCAGAAGAGACTGAGGAAGGAAGCAGGATGGAGCCAGGAGACCTGGAGGAGGCGCTTGGAGCCTAGAGACACGTGAAGAAACTGCGCTTGTCTTTTGGTCGTGGACTGGGTGACACAGATGTGGGTGAGACCCGTAGGAGGTGACAATGGCAGCTTTTATCTTGATGTTGATTTTGCTCTTTTCCTTCCGGGCTTGTCCGGTTGTTTGTGACCCTTTTCTGTGGGTCCCCACTGGAAGATGCTTTAGACTTGTAGCAGGCTTTGGGGCCTTGTTCTGGGCCGATCCCATATGGATGGACTTTTACCCACGAGGGGACGGGTAACTTTGGGTGCTTCATTTAGAAACTAAATTCTTTGCCTTACCTGTATTGTTTCCTAGTTTTATTAAAGTTCCTTTTCATTAAAGTCTCCTATGTTTTGTGTTGATGCGGCGGATGGCAGAACCCATTTAGAATAGGCAGGTTTGCGGGGTTTTGGGCTGCCCCTCTCCCTGTCCTATAACATAACTTCAAATAGCAACATTTATGTGGACTTCAAACAAAAGTTTCTCATTGTGTAAGCATACAGTAATCATTCAAATATGGGGCTTGTTCTGATACGTTTCCGTTTCGTTCCGTTCTAAAAAGAAATACTGTTTCCTATAAACATTAACAGGAGTTTTTATCTGGTATCCATCCTGATGAATTGGCTAGATGGATCTTTCAATTTCTCTGCAGTTATAAACTAAAAGTATGAATCGTCCTATCAAGCTATCAAGCCACAGCTAATCTTTCTCTCAAGGCCTAGGTGAAGTTCTGTTGTTTCTTGATCCCCTTCCCTCCATTTTGGATCGTAAGCCGCCTTTGATATCCGACGCCCCACACCACGATCAAATCCCTCTCTTTTTCCTTCAAACTATTCAAGCAACCCGCCATCTTAGGCCTACTCAGCGAGAGCGGGCAGTCAGTTCTTCTCAAATCCTATTGGGTAAAATCCACGCCTCTCAGCACCTGGGGGCGGGACAACAGGGAAAAGGCCTTTTCCGGGCGCGAAGAGATGACGTCACGTAGCGGCCCGAGCCCTAGGGTGGTTAAGTGCTCTCCGTTTGCCTAGAGTGTTGAGTGAAGACCGCTCCGTCCGCGTTACCATCGCGATGACCATTTGTCAGTACTTCCTCCAAGGCCGGTGCCGCTTTGGAGACCGGTGCTGGAACGAACATCCCGGCGCCAGGGGTGCGGGCGGGGGACGGCAGCAGCAACCCTCAGGTGAGGTTCCTCTCCATCCTCCTCCAGCCCCACCGAGAAAGGGCTGGCCTCGGGGTCCGGCGGGCGGGGAACGGGCCCCCAGACCTGGGCCTGAGGCTCGGCGCAGCGCCGCGGCGCACCGGTAACGGGACGCGGATGTGCTGATGTGCCCCCCACCCTCGCCGGTCCCGCCCTTGGAGCTGGCACGCAGTTTCTCTCCTAAGATTTATCTGCCCACTGGTCCCCGGTCGGTGTTTGTTGAGCAGGGGAGGTCAGAGATTTGGCCTTGCGTGCTAATACCAACCACAATTAAGTCAGAAGTACGTATCTCAGCTATCTTGTCCCTGAGTGGCTGTGGTTCGGCAATTGGTGTATTTCGACCAGACTCTTCCTTGCTTTACTGCGCTTCTGGGTACTTGTTTTATGTTTTTGTTTCTCCCTTCATACCCTGCACATAATTTGCCAAACTTTTTTTTGAAGGCGAGGCTGGCAACTGAGGCCAGTCAGACCTCCTAACTAGAGAAATCGCAAACTCCTTTGAAAACCTAGTAAAAGCTACAGAGCCATACCTAGACTTGCGCGTAAAGAGGGGAGGGTAGGACGCCCAGTTAAGAACTCTCGTCGTGAGGGAAAAGGAAGGAGTATAGAGGACCACTTTGACCTCTCCGGGCCTGTCTTTGTCGAAGCATTTGGAATCTCTCACTAGACCACTTGTGGATGATGCACACGGGCTACCTTCAAGGAGAGGAGCAATCAGTCAGAAAGCCATTGTAACGCAAGGTTGTTAAAGGTCAGAGGAACAGATTTGATTTTCTTAGGATTGGAATTTAGTCCCTGACAGTATCAGAAGATGCTGTTCCCCAACTCACACCCACAAGCTCTTGCTTAGGGCTATTCATCTGACCCTTAAACATTGTGTTCAGTGTGGTTTCATGTGTGATACCTCCTCTTGGAGACAGCCCTTTTACATCGCCCACAATTGGTCTAGTGAAATATTCCAAACCAAAACTTAGGACTCAGGGTCTAATAAGTGTGATTGTATTAACAGGAACAACAGGCGGTAATATTTCATTCTGTGGAGACTTACTGTAAATGTATTAAGTAATTGTTGAATGGATAGATTGATAGATGAAAAAATAAGATCTGTCAAGTAAATATTCATATTTAGCTCACCCCCAAAAATGAATGCTTCTGAAATTAATAAATATGAAAGCCAAAGCAACACATTTAAAAGGTGAAATAAACCTCTTCAGTTGTGTCATCCCCCAGAGGATTTGGAAAGTTAGAAAAAAAATAACATTACCACCTACTCGAGGGATCTCTTCCAGCAATGTGCTCTCATTTCTCTTTGGTTTTATTAAGTTATTTTAGATTTGGGAAATGAATTTGACAAAAGAGTATAGTTCCCATCACTCTAGTTTTTAATATATGTAAATGCATATCTCCCAATGTAGTCAGAAACACGGTGAATTATTTTGTTCCCCAACTAGGAAGCGATAAAATTTTGTAAAATATAGGGACAAAGAGGAAAGAGTCCTGTTGGTTCATTTTGATATTTATGAAATATTAGAAATTTACTTATAGAAGGAGGAATTCAATGCACTTATTCGCATGTGGTTATCTCTGTAATTTCCCCATGAAAGATAAATAAGTAGTTTTTTGTTTTACTTTAATCAGAGGAAAGACTGAGTCAGATAGATTTAAGTATATTCAAGGGTAGAGAGTAGAATCTTATCTTTTATATTCAACAAGCGCTTTAATACATTGTCCATTTTTCAGATGCGTTGAGTCATTATGTAATGTGTGCACATAATAAGACAACATATAATGAAATTTCTAGAGATTTAAAAGATGAGTTGAGAGTGAAATTGCTGGGGTATTTTATTTTATTTTATTATTTTTATTTTAGGTAGTAACAGACGTGGATGGAATACCACCAACCAGAGGTATTCCAGTGTCATCCAGCCATCCAGTTTCTCCAAGTCCTCACCATGGGGGGGCAGCAGAGATCAAGAAAAGTCATCTTTCAGTTCCTTCGATTCTGGAACTTCAACTGGCAGAAATTCAGGATTTGGATTATCTCAGAACCCATTTGCATCTCTTAGCTCTGATGAGCAGAAAGGTGAAAAGAAGCTTTTGTAAGTGAAAGCCTTCAGAAAAATGACTACCCATTTGCTTTTTTTCAAAAGCACCTACAATACTTTCCTTAAAAAAGAAGTAATACATTATTAAAAACTCAAAATTTAAAAAAAAAAATCACCAATGATCCTGTCACTTATAATCACTGTTTTGCATATATCACATTAGATACTGTTTCACTTAAAATACATCATCTCACCATAACAATACAGTGCAAAATATGAGGTAACGTAAAGCAATTTTTGATCTTGGAAGTCACTTTATACCACCTTATAGGTTTTTTTCTAAAACTTAACTCAGATAACCCACTGAAATTGATTTCCTTCATTATTTTGGTATAGCTTCATGGCATTTCTTGAGAACATTTGTAGTAGAATTTAATACTGTTGCCAAAGCAGTGCCTAGCTACCTGTAACTGTCTCAATTCCCAATTCCCAGGACAGAACTTAAATATTCTAATTAACCTCTTACTTCCTTTGACTAAATTAAAACAATGATGACCATTTTGAGACGTGTAACATAGGTGGATGATTTTTTTTTTAAAAAGTGAAAGTACAGGGCCTCCCTAGTGGTGAAGGGGTTAAAGTCTCCACACTATCAAGCTATCACCAACCACTGCAACATGAGTTCGATCCTCAGTCAGGGAGCTAACCCATATGGTGCAGCAGACCTGTTTTGTCTGCTGCTCCACTCAGCAGAGTATATATCAGTAGATCGGCTTGTTCTGTTCCCCACTCTGTCTCTGGTGAATCGTCTCACCCCTGCACCTCTGACCTATACCCCAGTTCTTGTATGCATAAATAAATAAATCTTTAAAAAATAAATAAATAAATGTTTATGATGATGAACATAAAGATCAAGAAAGATTAAAGTTAGTATTGTGAATTTCATATATTTAGTTCTTTAAAGTATGTATGGTATGTGTATGGTATAGTTATAACTTGATAAATGTATTGGTTAGTGGTTCAGTATATTTGAAAATCAAATTTATAAACATCCTATGATAATATTTTTTATCATAGTTCATATTTCTGAGCTTTTGCATTAAAGAACATTCTTTAGCAAATATGGGACAATTCTAAAATTATATATTCACTATGATGTAAAATTTCAGTGATTGAGAATTATAAATAATAAATTTTAGCAGCGGATAAAAAATGTCCTTTGTTTTTTTTTTTTTTCCAGAGAAGGAATTGTAAGAGATATGGAAGTTTGGGAATCATCAGGACAGTGGATGTTTTCGGTTTATTGTCCAGTGGAAAAGAAACCTAATATTTCAGGTATCTAAGACACTGTATGTTTTTAAAATGGGCTTTAAAAATGTTATTTTTCTAAAACTAAAACCATGCTAAAGGAAGAAATTACAGTTGGAGTTTGGATATTTTTTAAAATATCCAATTATTCTAGCACCACTTCATAATTTAGAGATTGAGGTTAGAAGATTTTGTTCTTTTAAGATATGTGATTCTCTTGAAAAAATTATAAAATCAGGATACACCACCATTCCATTTCTGTAAGTCCAGGAAGAAATTTTTTTCTTGGTTCCCTGCATGTACAACTTCAAAACCTTTTAACTGCCCTCAGTGAAGAGAAGAGTCACATCCTACCTGCCATTAGCATTAGTGCCTTAGCTGCCTGATTCTGTTCTGTGTTTCTTTCCTTTCTTACCTTTTAAGAAGAGGTTTTGTTTGTTTTGGGTTTTTTTTTCAAGATTTATTTATTTATGCACACAAGAACTAGGGTGTAGGCCAGAGGTACGGGGTGTGAGAGAATTCACCAAACATAGAGTGGGGAGCAGAATAAGTGTATCCAGTGAAATATACTATTGAAGGGAGCAGTAGGTGAGACAGGAGAGTTCTGTTGCGCCATGTGGGTCAGCTCCCCGGCTGGAGATCAAACTATGTGGCTGGCAATAGCTTGATAGCACTGTGTCTTTAACCCTTGTGCTACCAGGGAGGCCCACCTAAGAATAGTTACTTTTCACAAGGCATGTTGAGACCTTCCCTGGAGGTAGTTTTGAAGGTAGGGAACTTTATCTCCTTAACTTGGCTTAACATTGCATAGCATTCTAGCATTAGAACTAGACTACTCCTTTCCTTCCCATTTTCTTTTGTCCATTGTCCCTAACGTCTTTCTGAGCTGAAACCTAGTCCACCATGCTTTTCCATGCTCACTCGGTGTTCCTGGGTCTCCTTTGCAGTCCCTCAGAACCCTCAGATTTATACCTGCTCATGCTTTGTGAGCATTTGTGTCACCCACGCCTTAGTTGTTCATCCATTCATTCAGTCACCAAGTATTTATTGAATTTCTTCCTTGTACCCAGCCCTATTCTGAATTTAGGGGACAGACTGAGGAGCAAGACAGACAAGATCCCTCCCTTATGAAACTTATATTCTTTAGAGAGGGAGACAATAACTAATATAAATGAAATAATTTCACATAATGACATTTTATGTAAAGGAAGTAAAGAAAGAAGTAATATACCTGTTTTTAATCAGTTCAAAATTGTACTTAATGCCCATTGCCCTAAAGCATGTGTTCTTAAAATGTGGAATGTGGATCCCTAAGTAGGGTTGCCAGGGAATTTGTGGGACATCCAATTAAATTTAAATTTCAGACTAGGGCCTCCCTGGTGTCCTAGGGGTTAAGTCTCAGCGCTCCCACTGCTACGGGTGAGTTTGATCCCCAGCCAGGGAGCTAACCCACATGGTACAGCAGATCTCTCCTATCTCACCCATTGCTCCCCTCAGCAATATATTTCAGTAAATCTGCCTGCTCTGCTCCCCATTCTGCTCTGGCGAATCCTCCCCCCCAACCCCCAACACCTCTGACCTACACCCCAGTTCTTCTATGCAAAAATAAAAATAATCTGATTAACAAAGAATAATACTTTTAATATGTATGTCTCATGTAACATTTTGGACACATACTAAAAAAGTATCTGTTATGTTTGAAACTCAGATTTAATGGGGCATCCTGTATTATTTGCTAAATCTGGCGACTTGTTTTCTCGAGATCTTCTGGAGGCTATCAAGTTCAGTTGTTTTTATAATATATTAATTGCATTTTCAATTTGTTGATATTCACACTATTGGTGCAAAAGCATTAATGAGTAAAACTGCTTATATGTTAGCATTAATGAGTAAAACTGCTTTTATGTTAGTATTTAGTTGCCTCAAGGCAGAGGCAACTAAATACTAGTACACTAGCGTAATCGCAATTAAAAGGAAATTAATGCCATTTTTACTTAAAGGAAAAGTTATCCTTTTCCAATTATGTATCTGAGAACAGGTTTTCTTCATACACTTCAGTCATGCAATATATTGAACCAATACAAGGCAGAAGTATATGTAAGGGCAGAAGTATATGTAAGAAACCAAAATTCTTCTATTAAGTCAAATAAGAGATTTACTAAAATAAAACAATGCCATTCATCTCACTAACTTTTTTGTTTTGGAAATAGTGTTTTCATTTTCATTGATAAATATTGGTTTCTTAGTTATAAATGAATTAATATTTTCTATATTTATATCAGTTTTCATTTCAAATATAGTAAAGATTGACATGTGACTTGATGTAACCAAAAGTTCTTTGGGACTTGATGATTTTTAAGAATGTAACAGGTCCTAAAACCAAAAAGTTCAAGAACCACTGTTCTTGGGATCCATTAGAGAGGTAACTTTTCCTGTATAGTTAGAATGATTCTACTTTTGTACCACCTTTGAGAAATTGAGAAAATAGTCACTCAATTCATTTTTTGTGACTTGTAGTTCAGATAAGGAACTCCAGTTGAGCCTTGCTGGAATGAATGGACAGTAACTAAGGGACATTGTTCCTTTAGATAGAGTGGTTATCTGTACTTAGGAGATAACCCTGAATTTAGAAAAGATATCAGTTGGGGAAAACATTCCTGACAATGGCAAGTGCAAGGGCCTTGACATGAACAAGTTTGCAGACATGAACTTATTTGCAGACTAGTAAGACCTGAATCACTAAGGGAGAGTAAATGAAGGAAAAGTAGTGATATGATATAAGGCCAGAGTGGCAGCCAGAGACCAGATCATACGGGGCCTATTTGACTGGGCAGTCATGAGAGCTTTAAGTAAAGAAGGGATATAACCTGATTTGAAAAAGCTTTTTCCAGCTGTTGTGTGAAAAGAAATGATCTGTTGGGGGAACAAAATTGAAGCAGGGAAGTGAGTTAGGTGTCCACTGTTAAATAGTAGGTTAGAATTACTATTAGTGGAAACAGAATCGATCAAATTCAGGTTCTGTTTTGGAGCTGGAACTAACAAGATGCTAATTGATTGCATAAGGGGAAAGAAAAATACAAGGTGATTTCTAGCGTTTTGGGCTTAAGCAGTTTTAAAAAATGGTAAAGACAGTTCTTAGAGGCAATCCAGAATTCTGGATTGTTTTGTTTATTTATTTTGATTACTTTGTCACTGACTTTGTATAATTTTGAGAGGATTACTTCACATCTCCATATATGCACAAGGTTGTTATTTGAATGTTTAGTTTTCTTCACTTTGAGATAGGTTCCTCGGAGTTACTGATGATCTGGGTTACAAGTAATTCTCTGTAGAAAATATTCTAGACTTTTTTTTTTCCTTAAGTTTTCCAAATTATAAAAGTTACAGCTATTGTTATAGACATGATAGAGAATACAGAAATATGTAAATAAAATAAAGGTTACCTGAAACATTTTGGTATATTTTTATTAAAATACATACACACAAACATTTCTTGTTCATATATATATATATTAAAAAAAATTAACATTGCTATTAATTGTGTGTTGTTTGTCTCTAATACTAAAATTACTGGAATAAATATCCTTATACATAATACCCTTTGTTTATACGTCTTATTATTTCATGAGGTTAAATCCTAGAAATTGCATTAAGGTCAATGTGAACATTTGTGAACATTTTTAAGACATTTGATGCTTATGGTCATTTTTCCTCACAGAAAAGTAACTTTTTAAGTTCCTTGATGACAAATAAGGAGAACGTTCATTTCACCACATCCTTATTAATGTGTCAACCATGTTTAATTTTGTCAGTCTGATAAGTAAAGCATTTTCACTATTTTAAGTTGTATTTTTAAATAGACCTTTTGAATCTCATTCATTTATATAGTGGCTATTTGAATTATTTTGTTAATTGCCTATTGATTATCTTTGCCTATGTTGACTTATTTTCCTTACATTTAAATTAGCTCTTCTTGGCCTCCCTGGTGGCGCAGCGGGTTGAGCACAGCGCTTAGAAGCTGTCCACAGCCTCTGCAGCACAGGTTCAATTACCAGCCGGCCAGGGAGAGACCCACATGGCGCAGCAGACCTCTCCTGTCTTGCCCGCTGCTCCCCTCAGCAGTGTATTTCAGTCAGTCTACCTGTCTGCTCCCCACTCTCTCTGGTGAATCCTTTCCCCGCATTTCTGTCCTGTACCCCAGTTCTTGTATAAATAAAAATAAAACTTTAATAAATAAATAAATAAATAAATAAGCTCTTCTCCTGTCATATACATGGCACTTATTGTTTCTTCAGTTTACCATCTGCATTTTAATTTTGCCTATTGTAGTTTTTGACATAAAGAATTTTTTTGAGGCAGAAGTTTGTAGTCAGCTCTTCCTTTTTCTTTTCTTATTCCTTCTGCTCCATTTATCTTTAGAGTTATCCCCATTCAAAGATCAAATAGCCAACTATATTTTATTCTAATTTTATACTTTATTAAGCATTAAATAAAGAGTAGGCTTTGGATTTTTCCATATGATTATAAAATTTTTCTAATGATCAACATGAGCATATTTTCTTTTCTAGCACCTCTAGCTTTACTATTCTATCATCAAACGTATTGGTATTTATTTTAAAGATTCCAATTGATTCCTCACTTCAGGTTTTACAGACATTTCACCAGAGGAGTTGAGGCTTGAGTACCATAACTTCTTAACCAGCAATAACTTACAGAGTTATGTAAGTTTGTTTCCTATTCATCTACCTCAGATTAGCTGTTAATTGCTGTTGTCTTTTTGATGTGACTTGTTTAGAAAGTGGATAAGGTGTATAATTTTTTTCAGGAAAAGGTTATTTTATAAATTTCTTTGAAATTCATTGGTTATCTGAAATGGTGATAATGTATTTTAACTGCAGTAACTAAGAATGTCATTTTTTTATTACAAATTAACCAGCAGCAATCCCAGAAGTCAAACCCTTTCATCATTTGACAAACAATTATGAGGTATCTCGTAGGTGCAGCTACCATGATGAATGCCAGTAAATAAAGTTAAGTAAGATGCAGTCTGTTACACAGTTTAACATCCTTACATATCAAATACCAAAAAAATTCAAAAGCTGGGCTTGAGTAAATTGAATACCTAAAGGAAATGACATAAACTGTGTTTTCTGTGTCGCAGCCATGATCATGTATTTCAGCTAGTATTCATGTTCACCTCCCATCCAAATGCAACTCTTTGCTGCCAGGTACTTGTGATTCTTCACCAGGTGATATCAGGAGCTGGAGAACAGGATGAGACTACAGCTGAAATATCTTTGGCTAATAGGATCGGGTCAATGCAAATTTTACAATAGGCCATGAAAATGTTTTATAAACTTTTTGTAATTTTGGCAAATAAAGATGTGAAGTTGTTGTGGAGAGATTAAATTAAGCACTCAGTATTATTATTGTTCTTCTCTCATCAGCTGAATTCTGTCCAACAATTAATAGATCAGTGGAGGAAAAGGATAAATGAACTGAAAAGTCTAAATACATCAACTAATATATCTTTGGTGAGTATTGGAGAGTTTTCTGCAGGGATGTATCTTCTCTATAGCTTTTTTCCAGAGAATCTCATTTTGGATATGGAAATCAAAGCAACATTCTCTGTCAAGAATTTTGACACAGGGCTACCCCGGTGGCGCAGCAGGTTGAGCGCAGCGCTCTGAGGCTGTCCGCAGCCTCTGCAGCACGGGTTCGATTCCCAGCCAGCAAGGGGGATACTCACGTGGTACGGCAGACCTCTCTTGTCCCTCCCCCTGCTCCCCTCAGCAGTGTTTTCAGCCCGTCTGCCTGTTCTCCTCCCTGCTCTGTCTCTGGTGAATTCTCTCACCCTCTCGCACCGCTGGCCTGTTCCCCAGGTCTTGTACAAATAGATAAATCTTTAAAAAAAAAAAAAAAAAAGAATTTTGACACACTCTCAAGAATTGTATCATCATTTAGAGTTAAGGACCTAGAATTGTTTTCTCTCTGGTCCTTAGTCAGAAAGGCACAGATAATTAAACTTTTCTAAAACTAGTTTTTAGGGTAAGATTTTTTACTTTGGTATAGTACTAGCTTTGGAAGTTTGACATGAATATTCCAGGTTATTATCAACATTTACAAAGAAATTGCTTTGAAAAATGATATAAATGCACATTTAGACTGCTGTAAACTTTCATGACTGCAGGATTCTTACCACATGTTCCTTTCCTTACGCAGCAATGCCTTTAGGAGATATACCCACTCATCTCAAAAGATACCAACTGTAGCATACTCATTATTGCTGTGTGTTAGTATTTCTCTACCCCTATAAAACGTTCTTAAGAACCTTTTTTTAAAATAAGATATTTGCATTTAGAATTTAACATTTCCATATTTCCAGGCAGTTTGTTTCTACTTTCTAACAAACAATGTAAGAGTAGTATCTGCTTAAACTTAGTGAATGACAGTCCCAGCACCCCACTACCTTCTTATATATGTGCTTCCCAGTAACTGGACATGTATGCAAAGCTCCTTTTTCTCACTCTTCAGTTGTTATACTGCAATTTGAATTTAGTAGGACTTCTTGGGAATATTCTGTCCCTAGGTGAAAAATGGTACAACATCATCTTTGCTGAGAGCTTTTGTAAAAGAGATAACAGTCCAAAAAATTTCCCTCGTGGTTGGAAGTTCCTAGTTTCCTAGGACCCTCCATAGGTGAGACAGACAACCATAACTGGCTTAGTTATTCATTCATTATACTTTTTTTTTTTTTAAAGATTTATTTATTTTTTTATTTTTACAAGCACTGGGTACAGTCAGAAGCGCGGGAGGGTGAGAGAATTCACCAGAGCCAGAGTGGGGAGCAGAGCAGGCAGAAGGACCGAAGTACACTGCTGAGGGGAGCAGCGGGCGGCAGGAGAGGTCTGCGCGCCATGGGGGACCCTCCTCCGGTGGCCGGGGAACAGCCGGGGATCGAACCGGCACTGCAGAGGCTGCGGGCAGCTTCGCAACCCAGCGCTCAACCGCTGCACCACCGGGGAGGCCCTCATTCATTATACTTTTAACCCATTCTACAGACATTATTAATAAAGTTTGTTTAACCATTTACCTATTGAATATTACATAATGAGGAGAAGAAGCTAGGCCCCCAAAAGTACATACTCTATGATTCCATTTATCTAGAAAAGATAAACCTCATGTATTGTGATAGAAAACAAATGAGCCGTTTGTTGTGGCCAGAGGGTTGACTGGAAGAGGACATAGAAAACTTTTAGAGTGCAAATGTTCTAAATCTTGATTGTGGTTATGGTTTTTTGTTTTTTTTTTTAAGATTTATTTATTTATGCATACAAGATCTGGGATAAGGCCATAGATGCGGGGGGTGAGAGGATTCACCAGAGACAGAGTGGGGAACAGAAGAGGCAGATTGACTGAAGTACACTGTTGAGGGGAGTAGTGGGCGAGTCAGGATAGGTGTGCTGTGCCATGTGGGTTGCTCCCTGGCCAGCCAGGGATCGAACTCGTGCTGCAGAGGCTGAGGATTGCCTCATAGTGCAGTGCTTAACTCCTTGCGCCACCAGGGAGACCGTGGTTGTAGTTTTAAGCTTGTCAAAGCTCATTAAAATATATACATAAAACAGGTATGTTTTATTATTTGTAAACGAAACCTCAGTAAAAGAAAAAAATTTTTTAGTACTATTAAGGCTTTCAAATGAGAAAATATGTATCTGCTTGGGTTGATCATGAAAGACGTCTTGAAGGGAAGAAGTAAGTGAAAAATCCTGGGAAACAGATTTAGATTTCAGCAAGCAGGAATGAAAAGCATAAAGTATTTTCAGGGAAATAAACAGATTTTAGTGGTAAGATTTTAATAAAGTAATTGTAAGTCAACTTTAATTCAAGCATCAGAGTTGTGGGCATATTCATACTTTGGGTGTTTTTCCATTTTAAGCATTTAACTTAACTTTTTTTTTTAAAGATTTATTTATTGGGCCTCCCCGGTGACGCAGCGGTTGAGCACTGCCCGCGGCCTCTGCGGCACCGGTTCGATCCCCAGCTGCTCCCCCGCCACCAGAGGAGGGTCCCACTTGGCGCGCAGACCTCTCCTGCCACCCGCTGCCCCCCTCAGCAGTGTACTTCGGTCCTTCTGCCTGCTCTGCTCCCCACTCTAGCTTTGGTGAATTCTCTCACCCTCCCGCGCTTCTGACTGTACCCAGTGCATGTATAAACAAACAAACAAACAAATAAATACAACATGCTGCTATAAAATAAATAAATAAAAATTTATTTATTTATGCATATAAGAACTAGGGTACAAGCCAGAGGTGGGGCAGGGGGTGGTGAGAGGATTCACCAGAGGCAAAGCGGGGAACAGAACAGGCAGATTGACTGAAATACTCTGTCTGCTCAGGAGAGCAGTGGGCAAGTCAGGAGAGATCTGCTGTGTCATGTGGGTAGCTCCCTGGCCAGAGATCAAACTCGTGCTGCAGTGGCTGCGGATAGCTTCATAGTTAGGTAGCTTCATGGGTTGTGTCTTAACCCCTTGTGCCACCAGGGAGGCCCTAACTTTACATTTTTAAACAGATATCATAAAAGTTGAATTTAACTGGAAGGTATATAGAATAGGTATTGAGAATTACTCATAAGCATGTTATCATTTGCGTTCTTTTTTAATAGCTCTCTGATGTGAAGGTTGGAGTAAATCAAGCGGCACCTTCATTTGGATTTGGCAGTGGGCAGACAACAACATTTGGGTCACCAGGTACGCAATAAAATAATTTAGAACTTCACTAATTTAGAAAAGTAGGATTTTGTAGGTTTCAAGTCATAAAACCTGAAAACATGTTAATTGCCATTTTTTGTTTTTTATTGACATAACACCAGTTATATAGATTTATGTTATATAGGTTTCGTATGTACAGCATTGTAAATCAACAGCATATGCTACATTTAATTTGCCACCAAAAATATCATTTTCATCCTTAACCATACTCTTGACTCTTTACACTGTTTGTTCAGTCCTATCTGTCCCCAGACCTTCTGAGAGTCACTAGTTTGTTTTATAATGTTTGGTTTTCTTTTATTTTGTTTGTTCGTTAGTTTTGTTTCTTTATCTTCCACATGATAGTAAATTTTTACAGTGTTTGTCTTTCTCCATTTGGAATATTTCACTAACTAATACCCTCTAGTTCCATCCATGTTATAGCAAATGGCAGGACTCATCTTTTTCATATAGCTGATGAACATGGAAATGCACCTTGCTCTTGAAATTAGTGTTTTCATGTTCTTTGTGTAAGTACTTAGAAGACAGATAACTGGATCATAAGGAACTTCTATTTTTAAATTTTTGAGGACTCTCCATATCATTTTCCATAATGACTGTGTTAAGTGCCATTTTATTTTTTTTTAATGAATATTAAGGGTTTTTTTATTATTATTCATTTATTTATTTATACAAGCACTGGATACAGTCAGAAGCACGGGAGGGTGAGAGAATTCACCAGAGCCAGAGCTGGGAGCAGAGCAGGCAGAAGGACCGAAGTACACTGCTGAGGGGAGCAGCAGGCGGCGGGAGAGGTCTGCGCGCCATGTGGGACCCTCGTCCAGTGGCCGGGGAGCAGCCGGGGATCGAACCGGCGCTGCAGAGGCCGCGGGCAGCTTCATAACCCAGTGCTCAACCGCTGCGCCACCGGGGAGGCCCTTAAGTGCCATTTTAAATCACCTTTATAAATTCTACCGGCTTCCATTATGAAGCTTTGAAGAATTTGAGTCATAAAGCATTTGTGAAATAGGACTGGACATTTTTTTGGAAAGACTTTAGTTTTTCAGAAGTTTCATAGGTATACCTAGCTATTGTTGCAGCACATTTGAAAACTTTGTCATTGTGCTATAACAGCATAGTATTGTCCTCAAATGAGAGGTCTGGTGAGACTGAGGATTAGGGAATGGGGGTGAGAGTGTGGGAGCCAAAAGTGAAAGTCCACTCCCTAATCCCTGAGTTTTCTCAAAGCTATCTTCTTGAGTGAAGATAAATCACGAAGGAAGTGCAATCAGTGTAGCAGAAAGACAGGACAATGGGGTTTAGTGTATTCATTCTAACTTTTCTTTTTCAGTCTTCTTCCTCCTAATAAACTTCTCAACATCCACACATGGCAGAATAAGAAAACGGGGAATAATATGACTGTATTTTCAACTATAATGGGTTCTTTTTTCTTTTTCTGGTGTTTATAGGTTTTCCAGTGAATAACAGAAGTGATAATGCTCAGAATTTTAGTTTTAAAACAAGCTCTGGATTTGGCAGTACCCCTTCTGGAAGCCCTTCTGTGTTTGGGAGTACACCAGCATTTGGAGCTGTACCCTCTACCAGTTCTGCCATCACTACTTCTGCTACAACTTTTGGATTTGGGAAAGCTGAAACCACATCTGCTGCTTCATTTTCATTTAAAAACCCTGCAGCTTCCAGTTTTGGATCAACTGGATTTTCAGGATTTCCACCTCCCATGGCGTCAGGTCCTGCTGGCGCTCCAGTGGCTCCAGTCTTTGGAAGCAGCAGTTCTACAGCTGGTTTTGGTAGTCCAAACTCACATTCTCACACTGCTTTTTCCAAGTCACCCAATGGCGCCTTTGGAAATAGTGGCATATCCACCTCGCTCCCAGGCTCACTTGGCAGTACCACAACAGATAATGTATTATTCACACCTAAGGATCAGCTGTCAGCAGAAGAACTAGAACAATTTCAATCCAAGAAATTTACACTAGGAAAAATTCCATTAAAGCCACCACCTATGGAACTTCTAAACATTTAAAATGGCAATTTAAATACCAAAAAGAACAGCTTTTAAATTTATTTTGAGTGATTCATATAAAACAGCAGATGTATACATGTATACATATACACACACATATGTGTATATATATATTTATAAAGAATATAAGCTTTCAGTAATCTTAGGGGTTTTGAAATTTAACTTTTTTCCCCTTGAGCTAATTTAAGTAAAACACTCAGCAAGAGATTTTTTTTTTTGCCATAATTATGAATGGAACTGAAAAAAACTCAATGTGCACTGAATAAATTGCATTTCTCATTCTACGTTACTTAACTGGCTTACCCTTTAAACATTTTTTTTAGAAGGAGATAATTTTTAGAACATTTAGGGGGGAAATGCTTAAATACTTAGCCCACTTACCAAATAAATCTGAGTAGCATGATTTTCCTTCTTGTTAAAGACTCTCTTAAAGAAAGAAATAATAGTTTTTGATATAGAGGGTGACAATTTTTATTTTGGGGACCAAGGAAGCATTTTTATGAACTCATTTTGTTCCCCTGTTGATTTTGATAGTCTCATGGGTAACCACATGAGTTCTCTTTAACAATTTTAAGCTAATACTATCTTGGCCTAGTTTTCGTATAATTTATTTCTCATATTATCTTAACAAGTAGATGAATTTTAAGGATAGAAATTGTGATTTCATATGAATAAATATTTATATAAATAAATATATAATGGGATCAGAATCAACTATTTCTAGAACTTCAGTTAGACTTCTCAGACATGTTTGGATGTCAGATTGAGGGAAAAAGATCTTGTGTATTTTATATATGGATGATCCAGGAAGCAAAGTCCTGTCATGGATTCAGGCATATGTGTTAGAGCCATGCTTCTTTCTCAGGCCTCAAAAATAACACAGCTAGTACTGCCAGATCATCTAGCTAACATAGTTCTGCTATTCAGCTGATTTTTTTTTAAGTGAAAGTAAAACCTTACATAAAAATAATCCAAATGATTTCAGTGTATTTGAAAAGGATTCAGTTCGAAGTATTATATGTCTTTGAATTACAAAGTTCTGGAATCCCAGCATTTGGGAATGTGTACTCAAGGAGTATGCATTTGAAAACATTTGGGGTTTAGAGATGTTCAATAGACCATAAATTTTTGCTTTCTTAAGCTCTAAAAGACTTTCCAATGTTGATTCAACTTATGACTGACTCCTAGATGTTCCTACCTGTATGGAAATAACCCTGGTTACTTGTAGATTTGTTGCAGGCTTACCAGATGGTGGCACATGTTCTTGCTGTCTATAGGGTAACTGATAAACACCTAGATATAATGGGATACATCAGTATAACTATAGCATAACCACCAAAAGTACAGGTACAGAATGATATGAATGATATATCATTTAAAGTACAAAATGTAAAACACTGTATCATATAGAAACATAGTAAAAGAATAACAGCATGAGAATAATAAGCATTCAGTCTCCCCTTTATCAAAAAGAAAAAGTCAGGCAAAGCATTACTGGAATTACCTATTAATTCAGAAGCTACTCAACTCAGGAACATTTACGTAATTCAGTAGAGAAAACATCACTGTGTAAGAAAAAGCTTGCTTCATTAAAAGTTCCCTGATGATATGGACTCACCAAATGCAAATGCAAGATTAGGAATTCAGTCCTACAAGACCCCCTTAAGTAGGTTTGGAAGCAGGCTCTGAAGGATCTGGGAAGTCCCAAAAAAAGTATCAAAAATAATATGTACACAGGACCTGCGAAGAATACATACAAATGCTACAAAGTAGTTAACAGTCCTGAGGGGCCATCAGCCTGTGGTAACTTCCAGAGAAAATGAATTTTTTTTTAAAGTTTTGAAAGGGAAGTGAAATCAGTGGGAAGGAGAAATACCCAAAATAGCCAGAAGAAAATCTAGAGATAAACCTAGCCTGGGAAGATTACATTAACTTTATAAAAGAGTCTGAGAAACCTTATCTCTTCAAGGAATCTTTACTAAATGGGTAAACTTGGGCAGGTTAACTTTTCTAATCTTACCTGAAGAATAGGTAATATCCACCACCCACTGATTATGTGAATCAATAATGTAATGTATTTAGCAGAGAAATTATACTCAGTAATTCCATTATTGAGCAAAACTGCTTATTCAATATAAAGAGTTCAGATAAAAATACATAAAATAAAAATTGTATTCCACTTCCCCAGAAACATTGTATTTAACATTCTTGTATATGGTTCACGTGTTTTTATTCTTTTTATACATTCTAATAGTTTTCAGTGGTAATCATGATTTTGCACCTTGTCACTTAACAGAGTCTCTTGAACCTTCAATGTCAGCACATAGATTAACTGTTTTTTAAAGGTCATATGGTAGCCATTGTTTATTAATTCATTTAACCATGTCCCTGGTTGTGGGCCAACAACCCTTCAGCAAGACATCCTGGAGCATACATGTATATTGTAGAATGTCTTACTGAAGACCTTTGCGTATATATACATATATATGTAAATATATCTTTACACCATTGTTGAATTTTTGTAAGAAGTAAGAAACACTGAGTTGAAGTAAGAAGTGTTTTGATTTTACTAAATTGCTCTTTGAAATGTCAGTTTATGCCCTCTTGTAAAAACAGGAGACACCATTTATGTGTCAAAGGAGAGTAGATAATGATTTGGTTGTAATTGAATATATACAGTGGATAATGATTTTGTTGTAGGCAACATGAGGACAGGGGGCTTGATCAGCAATGGTCATTAAGCTCCTACCAGGGAGTCCCCTGGAGTAGAACCACATGGAAGTTTTGGATCTTGTGCATTTTCCTCCCCTCAAAATAGCTGGAGAAAAAGGATTCCCAACTGCTCCAATATGTTACTACTCTGCAGACCAGAAATTATGTTTACCAGTATTGAATGTCCAAATCCACCATTGACCATAAGGATGGATCTCATCAAAGCAGAAAGAAAACAAAAAACATTGGCAGAAAGTCGAACCTTAGGCAGCTCACTAATGAGGATGGAGTGGAGAAAGATGGAGCTAAGAAACAGCTCCAGCTTTCTAACTGACCAAGCAGTTTCTAACATACCAAACCTGAATCTGTCATCTTGAAGATATGGAACTGCAACACCTCTGCATCCCCCTCCTCTCAGCTCCGGCATAGCCAACCTAAGCCCTGGGAGGCCATCTCCTGTGACCAGCACATCTGCGGAGCCCAGAGTGCCCTGCACTTGTTCCCACCTGCCGCAGACAGGACAGCAGATGAAGTTCTCTGCCATTAACGAAGACCCAGAGTCTAAATGAATATGCAGTGGGGGAAGCTGGGGAGAGTGCCATCAAAGCAGCTCTGCCTTTCACTCCTGCAGCCCAAGCTTTTATTAAAGATATGAACAAAGGAACAAGAAAATAGCACATAATTGTGTTTTTGCTTGTACAGATTAATAAGTTACTGCTGAAAACAAGTTTTCCTGGTTGGTAGGAAAAATGCGCACAAGCCAGCACGTCATCGGAGAACAGGAGTCAATTCTGGGAAGAAGTTCTGTTTGCAGAACTTCCGTCCTGGAACCTGGAATGCAGAGTAAACAGGTATTCTCCAAAAACTCCAGCTCCCTTTAGGGCAGCAGGCTCCCAACACCCACATAGCTATTCCATACCCTCTTTTCAGTCTTCTAATTGTCCTTCTGAAGGAATGACCTCTACTCACTTCGCAGAGAAATTAGAAGCCATTGGAAGACACTGGTCTTTTTCTTTTGCACTCCAGCGCCAGCCCTCCACACACACTATGTGACACCACCCATTATCCCTCTCCCCCTGCATCACCTGGTCTCCCTCTTCACCAAATCGCTCACAAAGATCACATGTGCTGTAGCATCTCCCTGCTAAGGGGAAAACAAGTGCAGGCTCTTGACCTAGTCTTCCCAAAACACTACTCTACCCTACCTGTTCCCTCTGAAACAGCCATGCTTCTCTAAATGTTTCATTTGATCGCTCTTTTCTCCCACCTAGTCTTGCCCCTCTCCTCAATCCATTTCAATTTGTCTTCTGGTCCCCATTCCACTGAAAGAGCCCTTACTCAAGCCCTTACTCAAGTCTCAAGGGAGGCCAATCAGGCCTCCCTTCAGGATCCCTTTTCATACTGGCAACCTTCCTTCAACAGCTCCAAAGCCAACATCTTATTAGAAACAGTGAAGAAAAAAGTCTCCCCCGCATTCTTGATCAGTGATAGAAAACAGATTTTTCTGTTCTAACCAAATGCTGATACAAATTTCTGCCTCATTCTTTTTAACAGTTGCATTGTATTCCATTGCATGACTATATCATAATTTATTTAACTTCTCCTTTGCTGATGGCATTTGGGTGTTTTGTTTTTAGCAATTGAATAACAATTCCACAATGCACTTTTTGGGATCTTGTCCACACACATACACTCACACAAACACAGTTCTTTCCTCAACATCAGCAAACACATAACTGCTGAATTGTGCTTTTCATGATTTTAAGGAACTTACCAACACGTCACATTGTGTATTCCTGTGACCACTGTGAAGAAAAGGAGAGGGGAAAGGCTATGGTGTCTAGATTTTTTCTTCATTGTCTTCAGGTCACCAAATAGAGCCCAACTGTTAGTAAGATAGGCTCTTTGAAGCTCCCGCTAAAATTAAAAAATCTTCAATTTTCTATGCAAGTCCCAATTGCCTGGTAGTCTCTGTTTCCAAAGCATATGTATTGGTAGACCATGGAAATTTCCAACTCTCTTTTTGTGATTGTCTGAGGTTTGCAATGACCCAAAACAGAGGTAAAGATGCTAACACAAGCCTCCAACCCCCATCCCCCTAAGAGGGACCATGGTTCCCAGACTGACCACCTGACTTCTCAGCCCTTGCTTTGACTTTGTAGTGAATGGCCTTAACCTGTCCCATAATACCCATATTGTGCCTGCCATTGCCTGCAGCTAGGAATCTGCACTTCTGGCTAATGTAACACAATATCTCTCAGAAGTATATTGTGCCCTTTCTGCTTCTGATGCCTCATTTTAATAACTTTACAAACTTTTCTGGGCTAATCTCAGTTTTAAAGCCCTAGAACTGAGATCTAACACAGTATAGGTCACCCCTTCATACCTGACTATACTTCCCTATCCTGTTATGTGCTAATAATTAATCTTTCTCTTCCTTGACCTTACAGAAAATTTATTTTTCGAATATTTTTTTCTCTTTTGTCTTCATATACTCAGAGGTACCTTTGCTCCTGTTCTCCCTCCCCCTACTGATGGAGGATAAGGACAGAAAAGTTGGAAAGGAGGTGCCACAAGACCAGAAACCTGGCTCACACAATGCCAGGAGCTGGAGATGGGGCTAGAGGTGATTAACATAATCATTAAACCAGCTTTAGGGACTAAAAATCCTTAGACGCCTAGGCACAGACCCAAGCAAAGAGTCAGACTGCTGTTAGTGTCATAGGGCGCAGACCAGAGGTAAATTATGATATGGAGATTGAGGGCCATTGTAGAGTCTCTGGTCCCTTTCAATTCTACATAGTTATCTAAAATTAACAGCAAACAGGCCGCTCCACAAAAGAATGAGCCACTCCAGAAGAGAAGAAGACAATAGCAGTGCAATCTCTGCACTGGCAAGGGGTGGCAGAAAACAACAGGTAGAAACCCTATTTTATTTTTTAAGATTTATTTTGTTTATTTATGCATACAAGAAATGGGGTACAGGCCAGAGGTGCAGGGGTGAGAGGATTCACCAGAGAGAGTGGGAAGCAGAACAGATGGATTGACTGAAATACACTGCTGAGGGGAGCAGCAAGTTAGACAGGAGAACTCTGCTGCACCATGTGGGTTAGCTCTCTGGATGGGGATCAAACTCCTGCTGCAGGTAGCTTCATAATGCTGAAACTTAACCCTTTGTACCACCAGGGAGGTGCAAAGAAAAAAAAGCAAAGAATGAAAATGATCTTTTTTTAGCCCCCTTTGAAGGGACCCCTGCCCCTCTCCATCCATATTCTCAACCCCATGGGAATTCCCAGTGAAACTCATCATCCTCTTTAGAATGTAGTTCCCCTCACACCACAAAGTTTGCAGGTATTTCATAAAGAAAGCTGTTACTGGCATTTGACAAACTGAAGGAAAAGGTACTTTTTACAAAGTATTAAAAGAACCTATTATAGCTGCCACCATTGTTGATAAAGGATTTTTTTTTACATTTTTTTGCAAGGGGTGTTTATAAAGGATTATTGAAAACACTGCATTAGTAAATATTTCTTTTAAAGGCTCAATTTTACCAGAAGAAACCTAGAAACAGAAACAAAATTGGTGTAACAGTTATAGTTCCCACCTGATTATTTTTGTTTCCAAAGCCTAATTCTTTTTACACCTACATACATCAATTATTCTGATCCAATGAAAGTAGTGCTTTGTCTTAGCATAGCTCCATTTCCTATTTACTCGCAAGATTTAGAAGAGCTCAAAAGTCAAGTTATTAACTTGAAATAAAATCTCTTGAAGTAAAATAATTAATGCTTGAAGCTGAAGAAAAACCAACTGACCTATGTCCATTGCCTAGTTAAGAAAGTGGAATCAACATTCAACTGTTTGCTGATTTTGATTTAAAGGACTGATTTAAAGGGTTCTCTAATCCCCAAACCCCATTATAATCAATACCCTATGAGACCCAGGATAGTTTCTTCTTTGGTGTGTCCCAGAGTGTGGCACATCTACCACTGGAAGTGTGTGAGATGACTTTAGGAGGTATGGAACATTTTTTTTTTTTGCAACAGTTTTCCCTTACAGGTGTGTATCTTCCCCTCTCCCATTTTTTAAGTGTTCAAATTACACCACTTTGCTCTTACAAAACATGTCCATTAGTGCCTCTTTTTAATAGCTGAAAGAGATTCGAAGAGGATCTTCATTTTTATAACAGAGCAAAAATTACACTCAACATTTGTTTTGCAGCAGAAATTCTGGAGGTGGTGCACAAGCATGGTCTCATCAAGGTCCTTCCCTGGGAACTACATATTACAGGGCAAGTATCATATTCCTGCTTTTGTGCTGTACTGTGTTATATTTGTTATATCTTGTGTTATATTTGTGTGATTTGGTGTGATTTGATAGGTTATATTTTGGGTCTGGAACTGCTGAAAGATTTTCCTTACAAATCAGTAATTACTTATTTCATGCCATGTCAGCTTATGAAAGGTTCATGGAAAATATCCACTTTCAGATAGCAGGGGGAACCTGAATTTATTTTATAGTAGATTACTTTTCCATAAATAGATTACAATAGATTATTTCTTCTCAATTAAAAAATAGGTAGCATGGGCCTCCCCGGTGGCGCAGCGGTTGAGCGCTGGGTTGCGAAGCTGCTCGCGGCCTCTGCGACGCCGGTTCGATCCCCGGCTGCTCCCCGGCCACAGGAGGAGGGTCCCACATGGCGCGCAGACCTCTCCTGCCGCCCGCTGCTCCCCTCAGCAGTGTACTTCGGTCCTTCTGCCTGCTCTGCTCCCCGTTCTGGCTCTGGTGAATTCTCTCACCCTCCCACGCTTCTGACTGTACCCAGTGCTTGTATAGATAAATAAATAAATCTAAAAAAAAAAAAAAAAAAGTTTGAAAAAAAAAAAAAGAAATAAAAAAAAAAATAGGTAGCATATCAAACTCCTAATTTCATGGGCATATCAAACTCCTAATTTCTTATAGCTTAGGATGAGATTAAAATACAACTTGTGGATTTTTTGCAAAGAGCTGATGAGACTTAACAACAACAAAGAAAATAATCCAGTCAAAAAATGGGCAGAAGAGCTAAAAAGAAACTTCTCTGAAGAGGAAATGCGAATGGCCAACAGGCATATGAAAAAATGTCCAACATCACTTGTCATCAGGGAAATACAAATCAAAACTACCATGAGAGGGCCTCCCCGGTGGCGCAGCGGTTGAGTGCTGGGTTGTGAGGCTGCCCGCAGCCTCTGCAGCTCCAGTTCGATCCCCGGCTGCTCCCCGGACACCGGAAGAGGGTCCCACATGGCGCGCGGACCTCTCCTGCCGCCCGCTGCTCCCCTCGGCAGTGTACTTCGGTCCTTCTGCCTGCTCTGCTCCCCGCTCTGGCTCTGGTGAGTTCTCTCACCCTCCCGCGCTTCTGACTGTACCCAGTGCTTGCATAAATAAATAAATAAATAAATAAATCTTTAAAAAAAAAAAAAAAAAACTACCATGAGATACCATCTTACACCAGTGAGAATGGCACATATTAAAAAAACTAGCAACAACAAATGTTGGCGAGGGTGTGGAGAAAAAGGAACTCTCCTGCACTGTTGGTGGGAGTGCAAACTGGTCCAACCACTATGGAGAGCTGTGTGGAGATTTCTGGGCCTACTAAACATAGAGCTTCCATATGATCCAGCAATTCCACTCCTAGGTATTTACCCAAAGGAC